TCTGTCAAACAAAGCTGTATGAAACGTTTCCAGCTGTTAGTATCATGGTTGCTAGGCAACCTGGGCAGCGCGACGGAAGCTAGACCGTCCCATTTCACAAGCCTCGCACTTCTGGCCTTAGCGGGTCTTTGAGTACGCGGCCCTTGAGGATCGTTGAGACTGCGTACTTTAAGGCTGCAGACCCTGAATTGGGATACAGCCGTTGAGAAGGTAATTTATCCATTTAAATCAGCTGTGATTGATCAAAGACATCTAAAACCTGCAGGGACACCGGCCCTCGTGGACTGGGATTGGGGACCCCTGAAGTAAAGCCTCAACAGAAATACTTTAAGCCTGCCTTTTATCAAATGGCCAACACAGGGCGACTTCACCAGCTCTGAAGAAGTGCCGACGTTTTTTTTGTAAACACTTCTGCCATGAGTTTATGGTCACAATCATTCAGCTCAGGCCTTATTGAATACATTATCATAGATATATTGATAAGACAAGTGACTGTTGTATTTCTCAGTTTAACTGTCAGATCCGGCGCTCATCATAGCCTCACTTTGAATGTTTCTTAGACCGGTGGCTGGTGCCACAGAGGCTGTGTCCATATAAAGGCACAGACACTACTGCACCACTCTTCTTTATTGATTATGTGACTGCAGGTGCAAACTGTACTTTCAATCAGATGCTGCAAAACTGATAAGATAGTGCTTCACAGTTCAGCCCTGCAATGGTCCAACAGAAGCACCTCTTAAAGCAAAACATGGAGAGGTCTTGAATGGTTACAGAGGAGAACTCTCAGTTTTTGGTTTGACTTCTGAATGTCTAAAGGTTTCTGATATACTCAGTTATGGTACACTGCTCTTGTTACTGTGGAGGGAGTGTGTATAAAAATAGCTGTAATTCCTAAATGGTTAATGCAAGATTTGTGGTCAGCCTCTTGAATTAAAGCTGAAGTTTCCACTTCAATCACATCTTGATTGCTTCATTTCATTGATTTAGTACAGAGGCAACATTTCTGTAGGACAATTGTGCTGCTGTCTAAATACTTCTGGACCCGACCGTAAAGGTTCGTGTGTGACGTGCGTGCTAGCGGTCGTTGAGTTTAAGTGCATTTAACCTGCACACTTCACTGTGTTTTTCAGTCATCTTTTCCTCTCCAGCCCCATGACAAACCTCTGACCCGTCACTGTGGGTGGTACTTACTGAGAGGAGGGTTAAAGTGGATGCTGTGATTGTGGAGAAACAGCTTTATTTATTTATTTATTTATGTTTGCACCGGTACTCGATGAGTCATCAGAAGAAGAAGAAGAAATCAGATGCTTAACCAAAACAAAACAAGATGGCATTTGAATATGAACAACTTCACTGCTTTCATACAGTGTATACAGTAATATGCAAAATCAGAGGGAGGATGCTTCCTGGGAGACTGCATGATGAGATCAGGGCTCTGCAGGGGTTCACATGCTCTGCTGCAGGACCTGTTGTTGCTCTCAGTACTTCAAGTATCAGGCTGGATGTTTGGGTCATGTTGTTGAACAGTGGAAGAAAGACAAAAGCCTTTAAAGCTGACCCAGCCTCAAGATAATGATGCACAGACACACACACACTTGTTGATGCCGCAGTGACATCACCAGCTGATGACTCAACCACTGGACTCACCGCTGTGTGTGTATGTCTGTATATCTTCGAGTGTGTGTCTTTTAGTGTCCACCCACGCGTGATGAGTCACCCAGATCGCAGCAGGGAGCACAGCAACACTCCCTATATATAGACACCACAGAGTGTGTGTGTGCGCGAGGGGAGTGCTTACACAAACCTGAAATCTCACACACACACCATGAGGGGGTGGTGATCAGTTAGATTTCAGGACAGTCAGTCCAAATGTCATGAAAACGGAACACGATTTTTGTGAATGATACAATATTTTGAATAGTGATTTCAGTGTGTGTGTGTGTGTGTGTGTGT